GCACAGAAGGCACTGCTCTCGTGATTTTGTTCCATAAAACAAAATCCAAAGAGCTCAGCCTTCCATGCTGAATTTAGAGGTGCTCATCATACCTTCTTTTACTTTTTGGAGTTAACTTTTAATCTCAGTCCAAGAAAAGAACACCATTTACATTTAAAAACAAAGGAAGAAAAGTAAACTGAATTTTAGCCATGTGGTTATAAAGCTTTTTAAAATACTCTTCAGGGGCCAAAGCACTCTTATTTCAGCATTTCAGGTGAATTCATTTACCAAGTGCTTACCCAATACTTCAAACACTGTTTTTTAACTCTGAAAAATATGAAGAGAATAGGAAGAGGCACTATTGAGTGCCACAAACACAACACCACGCACTGTCCTTACCCAAGTACTTCAGTTAGATGGGTATTTCTACAGCATTTTAGTCCCAAAAAAGAACACTAAAAAAAATTTCCAATCTTACTTGTCAGGAAATAGAAGTGGAGATGTGAAATGAATTTTCAAACAAGGTACAGAACAAACAACAGGACTCTCTCTAGAAGCCAACAGATGTAAATTCTAATGCAGCCAAAGCATGGGATATCTGACTGTCCTGGCAGCAAGGGTACAGGCTACATGGAGAATTCAGATCACATTGTTTTCTGATGTCTGCAGCAAAATGAGCAGCCAGTACAGTGGGATTTATCTCCTCTAATTTTAGGTATCTAGTAGAGAAAGTGTCCCTTGGAGGTCGGTAAAGAGAAACAGTCATCTGTACGGTGTGATTCACCTGTCCTGCTCTAGATGCCAACTCTTTGGGCAGCACAATGTCCACAGTGGTCAGATGAAGACCACCCACAATGTCATATTTAAAATCTCTCTGATTAAGAAGAGCACTGGAATAGAAACAGATCTCAAGACATGACAACTCCCAAGGCTAGGATAATTCAAATCCAGGATGAAATTTTCCAGTTGGCTCCCTGGAGATAAAATTTTAAAATAACTTAGTCAATGTAAAAGCTTATGTTCCATTTTCATAGCAACTGGAAGCCTATGTTTCACGGGCTTTTGCTACAAATTTATCTCCCAGATGCTATTTGTCAGTTCTGCAAATTTTATCCTACAAGAAAGCTTTTTAGTCTACGGCACTTCAGGGATGTAATTTTGTCATCCTGTACAGCCAACAGAGAGGGGCAGCTACTGCTGGGAGGCAAGCCTCGATACCTCAGTTGGGACTCTCGCTTCCTATGCAGTCCTGTGGGCATAAGAGTGGAGAGTCTGAAAATGACTTAGCCCTTTTTTCCCTGTAAAATGAGGGAAATGTAAACATTCCACATGAAATCTGAGTGTCTCCACGCTTGGAACAAGATAAAATTCGAATGCAAACTCTGAAGTTTAATCTTAGCTCCTTGTCTTACAACATCTTTTGGATGCTTAAAATAAACCGGAAATCCACTGTCTCCAGCCTGCATTTGTATGACAGCCTGAACCCATCCAAACTCCTCGTTTCAGGTTTCTGAGTCCTCTCCTTCCCAACCTGCCTGAACTGCACATAGCAGACCCCCCAGCTCCATATCACAGCGCTCCCCTGCTCCCCGAATAGGTTAAACAAACAGGGAGACTCCTCCAGGGAAGTCACAGGTTCAAGATCACAAAGGACACACTGAGTTTAGGCCAGTCGGAGGTTTTTCTTGCTATTGTGCTTATCTGTATCTTCACTGTCATCCAGACGTTAACCTCTGACCTGCGAGCCTGCCTCTCAAAAAAGCCTTGCGGTGTTTACCCATTATGTAATGTCTGTGCTTTTGTGGAAACTTTACAGAAACAAATGGAGGAAGTTTGCCAGTCAAATGGCTGGACAATAAATCCTGTCCCGTGTAGATACAACGTTTTACTGTCACTGTAAGTCTGCTACTGGCATCTGTCACCGAAGAAATGTTTACAAATTTCAATGTGCTGGAGTGCCAAAGTATTCCAGCATTGCAGGACTGTACATGATTTGTAGAACAACGACCACTGTGCTAGATAGGGGTAGCCTTGTTTTGCTAGCCTGAATAAACAGAGTGACAATGTTTCAGATAACTCAAGGTCACGAATGTCCAATATTTCTGCCTATTCATCTCCTAGGTTCACGAATACAAGTACCCAAATGCTAGTTTGTTCATTATAATGCTTCTGCCCTAAGAAACTTCTTCTAGAAGTTTAATCCAGGTAGGCAAACTGCCTTCAGACCTCTTTGCTAATTTCTAATAGGTCCTTTATTATCTATACACTAGTCTTCCCATCCTTCCTTACAATCCATTTTCTTTACAGTCTCTGCTGTCTCTCTGCTTTCTGCAGTATTCCCCCTGTGGGACAAGATGTTATATCTCATTATCTTTCTGCACAGTGCCACCACAACACCTTCTGCTGTGAGACTGGGGCTTCTATGTACCATCAACTATACGGTTAGGACAACAGAAAGATGAGTCTGGATAAGAAGCAGGAGCAAACATAATTCGCAATAGTGGGACAGATAGGGAACATAATTCTTCCTTCACCGACTCTTTCAACCAAGGGACGGATTCTGCTGCAACTGAATGGAGATTCTGACTCTTGATGTCATCAGGAGCGGCACTCGGTCTTAGAGTTCTTCTATAATTAAATTTTCAAATCTCATTTCCTCTCAGAGGAGAGAAAACATTGTTGTGACTAAGCTTTGGATGTGGTAACAAATCCCTGGCAGGTTGGTTTGTTTTAACGGATGTATTAGTTTTAAGGAAACTTTTACCATCTTTTCTGCCCTTAATCACAGCTTTTATTACAATTACAGTAATGCAACAGATGTACATGCCAAAGGCAATATGTGTATTTTTAATGAGTTGACATGCAACTTTCCTGGAGAGGAGAAACAACTTCATTTGTTGAATGTTTCTGAACCATATGTAGCAGTTTATTAAGGGACAAGGAATCAATCAGAAAAAAGCATTTACCACAAATTCAGAGGCTTCAGTAACTCACAGATGAGCAGCCCCATAAGACAGACTCAGTTGTTGTGCTAGGTTTAGCAGATTTTTGCTGAATGGCTACATTTCCTATTGTCCACAAACAACACAATAGAAGGTTAACAGGCAATATCCGGAAAGCCCTAAGATTATTAATCCACACATGTGGTCCTGAGTCACTCGGCTGTAAAACAGCATCAGTTTCCAAAGATGAAACCAAAGGGGAATTCTGCTTTAGAGAGATGATATCACAAGCCCAAAGGAACTAGTTGCATCAATGAGGCCTATTTATGCAAGTTTTACAAGACATTGTCTCACAGGGGTTTTCATTCTGGTATAACAACTTCAGTCAATAAACTGAACATAAGCACAGATCACATCCTGTGAGTACAAGAGCCTTCAGCCTGGTTTCTTGCCTCGATTTACCTTACAGCTTGGTGCACACAGAAAATGACAACCGGCTGACACACACACACCAACCAGGCCCATTCACCTAGGGCTAAAGAGCTCGGAGAGTCAGGCTCCAACAGCAGCACACAAAATCCGTTCTGTTAAATTATTCCTGCCACTGCTGTGGTCTGGGCCAAACAGCCCTCAGAAACAATGGCTGGCCATGCTTTTTTGGAGGTTAATGCAGGCCAAGGACCATTTCCAATACAACCCTGGATGTGGATAAGCTGTTTTGAGAGGTATAAGTTTATCTATGGGGACCAGAGAAGGACTCCTGGCTTGTGGAGATGTGACCCCACAGACCTTCACATACCTTTTTCTGAGACCAAATTATCAAAGGAAGAAGCCTGAAAGCCTGGTGTACGTATGACTGCATGCTTGCTTTCTCCTCAGTCATCATAAAACTGCCATAAATTAATAGGGACTCAAGCAACAAACCATAGGACTCCTATCAGAAATTTCCATTATTAACCAGGAGCCTGATTTTGTCAGGCAGAGGGTACCGCAGTGGAGCGACTGTCATTATGCCAGGTTTGTACGAGGCAAACGGGGCTGCCTAGGTTTGGCAGTAAGAACCCTCACTGCCCACCCTGCTTTCAGTCCCTGTGCGGTCCTACAGTGAGGCTCCAACACAGACCAACACATCCACAGGTATTCGTGAAAGGTATAGGACCTCACTGCAATCACTGAGTTACTCTGGCACATCTGTTTGGATGATTAGTAGGTAAAATTTAACTGATAGAAGACAGAGCACGACTGGAAATGTAGGAATGTTTTTACTACTATTAATGCAATCAAAACTTCCTTCTTGCTATTATTATTGTGTTAGCACGTCAATTCTATTCCAAATTGTTTTCAACTCCTAGCTTACCAAAATACCTGGAGTATAGCACAATCCACCTTCTGGTTTTCATTCTGAACTTAACATGATTTAGCTGAAATTATTTCCTTTCTTAAAGCTGTTTCTTTTGCTAGAATATGCAAAATATGCATACAATATGCACTGGAGGAATGTTAATCTTCTATCTTTCTCCGTATGTCTCAAAAAGTGCTGAAATTCTTCTGTGCATAAAGTAACTTCTCTATGTTTTTGTAGGCTGAAGGCCCTTTTCTGAATTTACCAATATTCCAATTCAGATGAAAAAATCTATACAGCTGGTTAAATCATAGCTTTTAAAAAAACAGATGTAAAGAACTCTTTACGAAACTGATTACTGATTTATTTTCACCATCCAGTATGAATGAAATGCACAAAGCAAGCAGACATAAGTAACATAAACTGGATTGTAAAAGACATTTAATTGCATGAGATACTGTTAGTAGCACAGGTCAGTTCTCTTAAGATATATATATTCCTTGGGAAAATATTTTATTTGTTATTTTCCCCTTAAGATTTTTTTTTAATTGACTCATTTGAGATTTTCCTGTACCCATGGTCTTAATTTGAGAAAAGATTAGACCTGTCCTTCTTAAAAATGTACTCATGCTTCAGTATTAAGCTTTTGGCCACAAAACTATATTAACATTTACTAAATGAGAACAATACAAAAGTTGGTGTAACAGAAAAAAAAAAAAAAAAAAGGTGCTCACCAATGCAGTCCATGCTGAAGAGATTTACGGAGGTTGTTATGGAAGATTCATCACAGGTTTTCATTCCTCGCAGAGCAAAGCGCACCAGGGAGGCTTTGACTCTCTCTGGCAGAAAGGACAGCAGGTAGACGGGCATGTACAGAACGTAACGAAGTTTGCACAGCAAAGGGGTCATGAGCTTTCCTTGAGGGGACTGAGCCATACGCTCTATGGTTGGAAACAGCAGCACGGAGCGAAGAACCTGTCAGGCCATGAGAAAACGACCGTCAGCAAAGTCCTACAGCACCACATCCCGGCCTAAGAGACATAATTTTTAAGTGAAGTTGGGTTTCCAGGTGCGCTGCACCTGAGACACGCAGGCAGGCTTTGTGGTCTGCCCAGGTTAACTTTTTTAAAAGACAAAGCAAACAAGAACGTGGTTATGAAATGCTCAGTTCTATCGGTTTTGAAACAAGTGCCCAGAGCACGAGCCCAGACGCTTGCTTCAGGAGGATGACAACCCCACCTGGGGGTACTTGGTAGGAACCACCATCCCAGGCCGAGCAGATTTTTGATCTCATCAAAAGTATACTGCTTTTTAGTCCATCTGGTAAACTATTTTCTCTAAGTAAACCAAGCAAACAAAAAATGTGAGGCACTGTGACAGCAACTTTACAGTTTGACAACACAGGGGGTTTTCGGTTTGTAGTTCAAAACAGGTAAACTTGGCCAGAACAACAGTCTAAGCACACAGCCCCTTCACTAAGATGTGTACAGTGGTGCATAATATTGCTTTTTACATGTACAATGACAGAGACATATTCTAAAGCTGGCAATTATTTTATGTTATGATAATAGAATACACTGTAGCCTCAAAAGAGAATGAAATTAATTAAAAACACACCCACACTAACCAAAAGTGAATTAATATACCTACTCTCAATTATATTTCAATGTTATAATAAAAAATATTCTAAAAGGCTATCTGACACTTTTTTATGGAAGTAAAAACATATTGCAAGAATTCATATAGGAAAACCCCTCAAAGGCACGCGACTAGAGTACCACACAGAAGCATCAAGAAAGTAGAGAGATTCTGGATATTGCATTTGCAGATAATTAGGTGTGAATTGCTGTGCTTTGTTGGTGACTCAGCACAAATAAAATAGATGAAGTTCTCTATGTCTGCTTACTGCTCATATCATTCTATGTATTGTGTGAAGTAGATTAATATTTTTGTTAAAAAAAATAAACACCTTTACTCTCAGATGAGACTGCATGCCACTGCAGCTGTGTGCAGCACCAGTGGTCTCAGCAGCTATCCAGTAGAAGGCAGAGCATGCCACCAAGAGATGATTACGAGACCTGGGCATTGTAACATAGCAAACAGAAGAAATTCAGGAAATATCAGTAACTTGCCATACTGCATTTTCTACACTATTTTAAAAGCAGACTTTGAAAGTGCTATTTATATCGAATACAGACCTATTTTAAGAAATCCTTCTGCTTTCCAGCTGATACTACTTTGGTTTTAGACAAAGAAAAACACATTCTCAGGGAAATCAATCCTGGGCCTCTTTTTATTAAAGGCAACCAGCAGCTGAAGTATAGGAATGCAAGACTTGTACTAAATTATATGGTAGTTTCGTGATATTTCAGCTAGAAGCTGAACTCAAACTGTTGTGATCTAAAGCAGATTTGACCTGCGTTCCCAGGCACTCATTAATCCTTTGACATTACAGTTTATAGATACAGGATTAGTTGCTTGGAGTGCTGTACTAGCCGCTGGGGGAAGTTGCTAAACCTTGGAGGAAAAAGCAGAAACCAAGAAAGCCGTTACAATGTCCTATGCAAAAAAATTTTTTAACGACACAAAAATTTAAAAGATGGTGAGAAGGTGGAGGATAATTTTATTTATTTTCTTTCTTTTTTTAATCTTTTGCAGACAATAATAGAGAAATGCAAAGTTCATATTTTTCAAACAGTTATCAACTATTTCTTATTTTACTGCTAGATTTCCAAGCCAGGATTTTGAAATGTGCATTTGACTGCAGAATAGCTTAAAGATTAGTTCAACTTCTTTGCAATAACTGCAGAAACAACAGATTTAACATATTTTATTATAATGACACACATTCATAAAAAAATATGTCATATTTGTGTCTTGAAATAAGTGAAGAAGAAATACACAGGTAAAACAAAGGAAATTAATGAGATTCAAATCACAGAATCACAGAATGCATTGGGCTGGAAGGGACCCCCAAAGTCATCTTTTCAAATGCCAGGATGTTATCTATGTGCAATTTCCACTAGCTGAAATCAAGAAGATGGCACAGAATTATATTCAAGGTACAACTTTCAGAATTATAAGACTAGTCATTCTGAAGATTCAGGACATTGCCCATCGTAAGCGCCAGTATTGTCACACCTATGAATGCCATGGCATATACCATTAAGTAATGTGGAAAGGTTAATGACCCCTTTATTTATGGAAACGCTTCTCATACTTAATGATAGAAGTTTCTTGTGATAATAATCAGTCAAAATACAAAAAAAATACTACATATAACTAGAGAAAGGAATACAGATTCACCCGGTTTAAATTACCTCCAATTCAAACTCCAGTGATTTTTATCAGTTAAGCAATGGGAAGACAGAGACAACTGGGCAACTACAGACACTAGTTGCAGAGACTCAAGCAGATCCGGGTAGTACTGAAAGCTGGCCAGTGAATCTACTGAAAGCAAACAGGCTCTGTGCCCCGAATCGCTGAGAGCTGTGGGTCATATCAACGCTGGGTTGCATTAAGAAGAGTGTGGCCAACAGGTTGAGGGAGGTTGTTCTCCCCTCCTACTCTGCCCTGGTGAGGCCACATCTGGAGTACTGTGTCCAGTTCTGGGCCCCCCAGTTCAAGAAAAAGAAGGAACTACTGGAAAGAGTCTAGTGGAGGGCTATGAAGATGATGGGGGGACTGGAGCATCTCTCCTACGAGGAAAGGCTGAGAGACCTGGGGCTCTTTAGCCTGGAGAAGAGAAGACGGAGAGGGGACCTTATCAACACTTACAATAAGGGTGGGAGTCAAGAGGATGGGGCCAGGCTCTTCTCAGTGTCGCCCAGAGACAGGACAAGGGGCAATGGGCACACTCTGGAACACAGGAAGTTCCGCTTGAACATGAGGAAAAACTTCTTCACTTTGAGGGTGACAGAGCACTGGAACAGGCTGCCCAGGGAGGTTGTGGTCTCCTTCTCTGGAAATATTCAAACCCCACCTGGATGCAATCCTGTGCAACCTGCTCTAGGTGACCCTGCTTCAGCAGGGGGGGTTGGACTAGGTGATCTCCAGAGGTCCCTTCCAACCCCTGCCATTCTGTGATTCTGTATCACCTACCCTTGCTATGCCTTGGTCAACCCACTAAAAACAGTACATGTATTCTTACATTATACTGGAATTGTCACTGTTAGTTGTTGTGACAATAAACAGTATTTGTAAAACTGTCATTCAACTTATTTAACCGTTATTCATTTAACATGCTATTAAATTGCACGATTTCAACACTCAGGATGACACATACACTAAATTTCAACGTGTAAGGCATAGATACTCTTTGGGTTAGTCACCAGGCAGCTACTTCGATTTTCATCATTAATTTTTAACTCTTTAAATTACATAGGGCTCAAGACCTGAACGGTTCAAGGGACTGTAATGAGATGGCAGTGTCTGAGAAGTTTTAGATCTTGTTAAGAACAAAAAGCTAATATTATCAGCAAGCTCTTCACGTAATTTGATGTGGGTGCCAAGGCAGCTCCTAGTCCTAAGTAGAGCGGTATATATATCACTGAAAAAATTAGTCGGTCATGGCCTGAGCATGTGTCCAGAGAACAAACTGCCCTAGAAGCCAAATATGCTCTGCCCTGTATTCCTTCAACACACACCACAGTAGGAAAGTGTGGGGACTTCCGGAGTTACATTTTTGTCACTGTTTATATGCTTTTTTATCTAGAGCAATCAGTCCATCAATTCAGGTATGACCTGCACAGTAGATTTTACAACACAGAGGGAAAAGAAACTACTTATTTCACAGGAAAAGTGAGCCCTCAAAGCAAAGAATATTAAATGCCCATTTCCCAAAGGCATGGGACCAAAGAGCTTTGCTTAGGCAGGATCCCTAAATGAATGAGATTCACTTCATGTGATCACTGCTTCACATAAATATAAAAGAATAAACAAAGGCTTCCTCCAAACTACCGACACATCTGGGCTTTCTATTCAGCTTTTAACCTACCTAAAACAAGACAAAAAGGTGACAACTGAGTATCTTTGAGTCTTCACTGGATAATGGTTATGTCAACGTGTTTTTGGATTTGCAGAAACAATTGGAAGTTTTTTTGCTTTGATTAAAATGAGAAAAGAGTACAAAATGCCAAACAATTAAATTTATAATAAATCGCTGTTTATCACTGCACAATTTAATGTTCTCAACCACACCAGCAAAGGATTTTTGTAAAACATTTAAATGGTTTCCCTGTAAAAGCACTGAAAGTATGCAAATCAGATCAAGCCAAAAAAACCCCCACAGTAATATTTTTTATTAGTACACCCTACTGAAAGAGTTGAAATATATTCATCATCAGCTACAATTTGATGTTTGAGTGGGTAATACTACTTGTTACAGGGACTGGTAAACGATGGTGCTGAGGATGTAACATCATGCTTAAGAACCGGAAAAAAATGACTCAACGCCAACAAGGAGCTCAATACTTTTGAAATCAGGCAGTTTTGATCATGCAGAAGAAATGCTGGTTACAGATTCAGGCACATCAGGTGTGTACCTTCCTGAGATCACACAGCTGAGGGCCTGCAGAGAGCTGCCACACCGTGCCACCTGCTCTTCATACAGAGTGGTGTTTTGCTAAGAGAAACAAAATGGGAGAGAAAAGCAGGCAGGACATGAAAAGGCAGACACTGACTGACAGAAAGGAGCAGGAGGCATTTTAAAGACCTGTTTCAGAAAAGACCCCAAGTAGGTGAATTCATTAATTACAGCCAGGCTTTCTCAGTTGCGTACCTTGGCTCGCAATGCCAGACCATCCCTGCCCACGACACCTCGCAGGCACGTTCAGATCATAGAATGACAGAATCACAGACTGGTAGGAGTTGGAAGGGACCTCTGGAGAGCATCTAGTCCAACCCCCCTGCTAAAGCAGGTTCTCCTTGATGTCTCTACTGAACTTGTAAAACAACAAAACTCTGACCCACTGAAG